GCTTCCGTGGTCACTCTCGTATTTGTTGTAAAACAAAACCTCAATCAGCCGGAGTGATCTAAAGAGAGAAGTACGGTATTCGCTCCACTTGAAAAGCAGCGGCATAATACGAGGAAACGACCCACATGCACATCATCGCTCATGAGTATAGCACTTCGTAGTAGTATTTACTACGTCGTTTTTCACGAAAATAGTGATATGCAATACAAAAATTGATTTTAAAAAACTTTTTTGAAAATTTATATCGGAAAGTCGGATTAGAAGATCCTCTTTGGAAGTTTGTACGCTCGGACGCATTACAAGACCGGGAGGTCTTCTAATGCGGGGACGGGCTTAGTTCGTTAACTGAAGTGCCATAATCCTTGACGTTATTGTATTGGATACAATTACCAGTATTATCTCATACATATAAGCGGCTACATTGAGGATAAAGTACTTAGTAGCCACTGGTAGTTATATCGATGAAATGAACGAACTTTGAAAAACAGACCTAGTTCGCAGCGTGAAAAAATGGTCACATAATGTTTTGCCTATTTTCAAAACAAAAGGCGTACATTTAAAATACTCTTCTTAATGCTAAATGTAGAGCTTTCGTCAGTCTAGTCGCTAATGTATTTCGTTTCGAATAAAACGTATAAGGAAGCTGGCAGCATCGAATACAAAGACTGGCCATTATTTCTGGACCACCCGATATTTCCGGAACTTTCATTCGCTTGAGCCGAACTTTTCAATTTCGTCCTAATTTTATTAGGGTTATCTACTGTAAGAACAGTTAGCGCAATCTCTGCGGGATTAAAATGTGAAACACGATGTAGCTGTTGTTACCAGCCACACGAATATGGTTTTCTTCGATATACCGTGGGACCCATTTACTCGTAATTTTTTAGTTAATTCTCTGGAACTACAATAAGCAAGCAGTTGATATATTTTTATGAGATTCTAGTGATATATAATCGCAAATCGGGTATCAAAAGATCTGCCACGGTCTGCGATGGGTATATGGTTTCTCTGTCAGAGTCTGTGATGGATATGGATTTTCTCTGTTACAGTCTGTGGGGGAGGGGGGCAAATTTCTACCCTATATACTTCAATACTCCTTTCAGATCGTGTTTCGCAAAATACATCAGCCAGATCGGTGAGATCGATTGAGCAATGTTGGTCGTGGCTTACGTACAATGCCTCCTAGAAATTGTCAGGTCTGAGACTTTTGAACCAAACCTTAACTCAGTCCTGATCAGTATGATATTTCATATTCGAACCTAGGGTCGATGAGTATAAAATCTCAGATCCGAATCCGACTCGACGATCTTTACTCTTCACCTTCACCCACACTTTCAAGTGTAGTAGCATCTGAAGCACTGTCACTGGTCGATTCATAGCATTTGAATTCAGACTGAGAATTGGAATTGTGTTTAAAATTCATCAAATAGATTTCATCATGAATATGTCGTCGAAAAACAAGAAAAAAATTCAGTTGAAATTTTGTTTTTTGCGTCTGCTTGTGAAAGGTCATTTCCAAAGCAAGTGTTTTGTTTCTTAAGATAGAAAGAGAATTGTCTTAATGGTTCTGCCTAGATAATGAATCTTCAATAAAGATCGACGTATCTGTTGACGCACTGTCAACTGGTGAACAAACACCATTATACTTCCGTCCGGTGTCATGGGATTCTCAAATCAGAATTCTAAGTCATGATAATGATATAATCGATAGAAATATTCTATACAGCCCCGACGAATCTGCAGAATTAAGTACTCTGTTTGGCGATGCCGATATATCCGACATGGCAATCGACGAAGAATCAAACAACGATAATCGTCAAAGGTAAGATCTGATTTTCAATCTCTAGTGTTAAAGCAGTCAGTTCGAAGCGAGCTATGCGACAAATCTCGTTGCAGATTATGGATGTCGTATTAGCATTAAACCTAACTTAATGCCCTAGTGTTATTTAGTGTTAACATTATTAAGACTGGGATGTTGGCATTAAATTAGGATCATTTTTGTGTACTCAAAAAGTGAGTACACTATAGAATCGGTCAGTGTGTTCGGCCGTCCGGCCGTTTACACGATAACTTTCAAAAGGAGAGTCCGATCGCGATGAAATTTTCTCGTCTCAGCAATATCTCGGTCGAGTTCGAAGATAAGAATGATTCATCGAGCCATTGCTGAGTTATCGTAAAAAGAGTCATTATTCCTTATGCTTTTCTATGCGAACATTCACCTATCTCGCTTTTCGTAAAAAACTTTTCATCTCATAATCAAACAAAATCCCAACCATTATATACCATTCGATAGAGAATTTCACGAGCTACAAAATGGTATATAAAACATTAAGAAACAAGAAGGCTAAGTCACCTATTACAAAGATATTTAAACTGAAATTGCTTCTGTGTTTTTACTTTTTGAAGTACACATAATACTCGGATTTAAATCCGAGGTTTCCACATTTATTAATTCTAACGTATGTCTAATATGCGTGGCTACAGCTCTGAAATTCGAGCACAAATGGTTCTGATAAAAGAACAATTTGGCTCTTTGTTGAGAATCATTTTCTTAAAACACAAGAAAGGTTTTTGGTGCCTAGAAGTACCACTACTATAATAGAACCAAATGGTTTTTCATTAGGTACATTTGCTCTTGGATCCTCAGAGGCGTAGCCGCACATACTTGACGTTTATTAGAATAAAAAACAATGCCAATGCAATGCTAACAGTACATAACACTAAAGCATTACGCTTAATGTTAACGTTAAGGTTTTCAGTATTAGTATTTTTCTAATGCTAATCCAGCACTCCTATCTACAGAGTGTTTCTTTTAATACGAGAAAAGATCAATATTTAGATATCAGATTCAAATGAGTTAATAAACAAGACTAATTAATAATCAATGAAGCTAGACAAATCTTGAAACTATGTCGATAACCAATACTTTGCGAACAAATCTACAGAGTTAGACAATCTATTGAAGTTATTTTTCTGTATTTAATTCAGACAGCCTACATCATACAGTGCGCGGCCAAAAAAGCATGTACATTTTTGTTTTTACGCATG